AGACCCATTCAATTCTGTAGCATGGCTCGAAAGGGAGCAGTGATATTTGTTTGTGACTGATGCAGAGCACTGTGATCCCATTGTCAACGTCAAACTCCTACATCGTCAGCAGCACCTCTAACTCTGATGCAAGCACATGATGTTTGCCTTCCTTGCATGAATGAACTCAACCACTTTGCATTGAACTAGCTCGAGCAGCCCAACTGGAGCCAAATAAACGCGGCATTTCACATTCTTCAACCTGAGGCACTACAGGCTTGCTTTGGCATGTTGCTCAACCCATGGTGTGGAGGGATGCTACGATCCTTTTGGCATGGTTGAAGCTTTCAAGCATTGCCGTTTCGGCCAATGCTGCTTGATGTTCCCTTTGTGATGTTTGAAGGGGACAGAATCAGGAACCCTCTTCAACCCCGCCGCGTAAGTTGTGCGAGCGACGCCATGCCAAGCTGCTTCGAGCGCGCCTGTGGCAGCTGCGCACAGATCTGTGGGCCTCCGGCCGGGCCCTCGCTTTTGTTCAACTCCAGCGGCAGCTCCGTTGTGGATATTGGGTAAATTCCCCACGTTTTGGACTTTAGACTTTCTGTGAAGACCGTTTTGGGTGGTCTACAAAAAGGTTTCGATGTTGGTTTCCCTCTACATCAGCCAACACAAGGAGTGTCCATTTCCTCATGGCCATTCAGCAGGCAGCAAGCAGGTCCAGGCGTTGCCTCAAGGATTTCGGAAAGGCCCCCCCTTGTCGGCACTTGAAAGACAGCAATGCAAACCAATCCTTTGTATGTGGTCCTTGATTTCGCAAGCCGGTGTCACGCAGGATACTTGTTGACGGGGTATGGCTCACAATCCCATAAGGGCCAAGTACTCGATTTGCCGAAAAGGTTTTGTTAAGCAAAGATGTCCAACTCCGATATGAGGTACTTAAAGAGGAATCATTCTAGGGGTTGATTTCCCATTTTCTCAAAAACCAGCTGTTTCCCCTGGTGTTCTGGTTTTCTGGAAAGAAGGATCCCTCGAAAGAATGGGGAATTGTCCCCTAGAATCATTGGAGTTGATGCTGGCAGACACACACACACACACACGTACCGAGATTTTTGTCAGCCATTCTTGGGCATTGCAAAGTCCGGTTTTTTCCTGGCCCCGCCTCAGTTGTCCAGGCGGTGATTTGCTTCCTGATCAGCAGCTATGTGTCGAAGGCCATATTTGTTCAGATTGAACCCGTGCTTTCCTATCTTGGAGAGCGAATTCACATTCTGGAGCTTCTTGACTGAGTTCGGTGATGGGCCAGAGGATCTATTTGATTTGCGGAGTTACACCATGTTATACACATTATTACGGTAGTTGCACATTGCAAGGCTTATGTTGGATTGTTACTTGTTTGCAGTTGATCTACGTGCAGTGGTATATAGTATATGCAATTCCCAAAATTGCGTTCAACCGGTGCTTGGGGTAGCAAAAGGATTTGTCAGCAAGCATAATATGACAAGTTGCCACGAGCGGGGTTTCTGGACGTTAGAATTCCGAGATGCAGAATTGCTTTATGATGTGCACTTTGGTTTCCTTGCTAGGCAGCCAGGCATGGCAGTGCTAGGAAACCCAGGTGTATGGCGTTAGTGTTTGATTGTTTGGAAGATATATGCAGCTCTTGTCGTATTGTTTGCTGTGAAATGTGTTCTAAAGCAAGATCACTTGAAGGTGTGGGGGTCGCATCTTATCCAAAACTCCTTGCTCATGCCGCTGTATAGAGAGAGACATGTTTGGCACATGGTCATATATGTCACATTTTCTTGGACTCCTTCCCGCCTTTTCAGAGGACACTTGCCTCCTTTGATAAATAGTGTTTCATGTTGCTGAGGACATATTTAGCTAGTTGCACCCAAAGCTAAACCACGCTACAGCCAGGCCCCCCTGGCAAGTTCGCATTGTGTTTGAGGTGACAGGGTCAGTTTTACTGGCAATCTGTTTTTTTTTTTTTTTTTTTTTTTTTTTAAATAATCCACCACGGGCGCGCTCGCCAAACTACAATCAGTTCATGGGGCGTCCTCACAACATGTGCGTGTCAGGGAGCGTGTTGACACTGGCTCAGTCGCTGTTTGGATGGTACGGGTTTTGAACTGTTGGTTTGCTGCCAGAGTTTACCCTTAGCAATTGAGGGCTCAACTTTCTTGTGGTCCAGGCTGCCTGACATCTGAAACACACAGATCAGAGCTCCATTCCCCGGGACAATCCGCTAGAAACTCCTTGGCTACAGAATCGCGACCTGGGGCATTTGGGACCGATGTTGCCCGACGCCACCCAATGTATGCTTCAATTGTTTTTGTTGTTTGGTTTTGGGGCCCTGTTTCAAACTGGTGAATTATCGCCATTGAATCACCTAGTAACCCAGAAATTGAAAGGTAAAGGGAAGGACTGACGGCATCACGCTACGTTCGTCAGAGCAGAGGCTCCAGGGAGCCGCCTTTCACCGGTTGAACAGGCCATGTGACTGGCTAACAGCTTGACCGACTTGTCCAAAACCAAACCGGTGTGTCTTTTTCCCCTACCCTTTCTTCAGGCTTGTTTCAAGGGAAACAGGAAAGCCGCACTGAAATCGTGGTGTTTGCGGCGTGGCGGGAACCAATATCGGTTGTTTCCACTTGTTCAACCTGGGATTCAAATCATGATCTCTCACTATGGAAGTTGAGTGGAAGTTGATGTTGACATAGGCCCTTTCCAGAGGCCTTTCAGGGTTGTACTGGGGGCTGCGCTTGGGTGAAGCTGGCAACATAAAGGACAGACACCCTCCTTGAAACCCCGGTTGTTGTTGTTGTTGTTGTTGTTGTTGTTGTTGTTGTTGTTGTTGTTGTTGTTGTTGTTGTTGTTGTTGTTGTTGTTGTTGTTGTTGTTGTTGTTGTTGTTGTTGTTGTTGTTGTTGTTGTTGTTGTTGTTGTTGTTGTTGTTGTTGTTGTTGTTGTTGTTGTTGTTGTTGTTGTTGTTGTTGTTGTTGTCGTGGGTCTGGTGCCAACCCTACGTGCGTATTGGGCACGTTAGCGCGGACTTCCCCCACACAGATCCTAAACAAACCCTAAACAACCCTAAACCAACCCTGAACCCACCCTAAACTGGCATTAAACCATCCCTACCTACACACACCCTAAACCGACCCAACACCACCTCAGACAAACAAAACACGCTAACTAAACCCATTCCTAAACCCACATGTCAAGAGGCTTGGCATATGAGGCGCCCATCAAGCTTCGGGGTTGAGAGTTTTGTTAAGAGCAATTCTCCGTACCATGGGACATACCCAAGTGCAAAGGAATCCAACACCTCAGGGAGGTCCAATCCTGATTCAGAATGGCTGAGGCTGGTGGGCATGCTGGGCTGGGGGATTTGGATCATGACCTTGGGCATGACGTATCTGGGCCTCGCCTTTATGGTCCTGGCGATTATGCCCGGCTGGCCCTACGCCCTCTATGACTACGCCCAGGGCGAGGACAGCCGCAGTCGAAGTGAAACCTGTGCCTCCGATTGGTGTAAGGAGGTTGTGCCCCTAATGAAAGCAACCCCCTGTTCGCTGGTCCTACTCAAGAAGGTTGTAAGACAACTGATGTGATTCTGTATGTGAAGTCCCACACACACTCTAATGTGTCGAAACGACTTTCAATTACCTGAGCTTTGACTCGGGGATGTGTTGAGCTTTGGTGAGGGAAGGAAACTGTTGAGATTGGGGGATGTGTCGAAACTTATCCTATCAGACCCGGTCCGTTCTCAAGTGAAACCGGACTTCTTTGGTCCAGGGTTGACCTTTCGATCCTGTCTGAAGGGAAAGGGACCTTGAGTGTGAGGAAACTCGGTGGGCTTTGAAGGGAACTCCCAGCAATCTCTCCTTTCTATGTGCCTTTATCCGTTGCCCTGCAACCCGCCCGGGCACCCTTTACAGCACCATGTCAATGTGGAATGATGGCATGTTGTTGGTTTCGTGTCTAGAACTTTAGATGTGTTGGCTCCTCTTTGCGGTAAGTGGTAGCAACCCAAAGATGAGTCTGCTCGTTTTGTTGCTTAGACTCATGGCCATTCTGACTCTTCAAGTCCTGTTTGCAACCAAAGTGAATCGGCCAAACTATCCTTGCGGTGTTCCCATTTTGTCCCGTGCTCAGTCAAGGATTCCTTGATGAACCTTTTCTTTGCAGGCAGGCAAGGAGACATCCACCTTGGCTCGGGTGACCATAGGTGATGCAGGGCTCCAAGTCTCTGAAACATCATAACCCAAGGGTAGAATGTTGGACGGCTTCCTCTGGCATTCCTTTGTTTGGGGTCTCCTCCAGAATTTGATACTTTAGGGCAGACCAAATATGGAACAAGTTAGTTGTTCCCTGGGCCAGGTTGCCATGAGCGGTTTTTCCACGGTTGTTGAGCAGAGTTTCCGGAAAGGGCCAATTCCTTTGGGTGATGTTCAAAGGAGAAATATGTGGAGGCCTGTGAAA